TTTCAAAATTCTTCAAAACTCTTATATCTCAAAGACTTATGGTCATATGTGGGAAGATTATTAATCAAAACTAAGAATTAAGGATTAATATTAACTAAATTTTCTCAGGAGTTTCTAAAGATTTCATTTTTGAATTGACTGTTCCAAAATCTGAGATTAAAGATTTATAAGATTTTGAAAGAAATTTAGAGATAATAAATGTTTAATTGACTGCACGCCCTGTTGATTCAATGTTACAAACATTAAAAGAGAGTAAATTAGTTTTGACTCTGTTTACAGATAATGAATAAGTAGCATAAGATTCAGAAATTAACGATAACGTTGAATTTAACTACATCAGAGTAAAGGCAGCTTAAGCTATAGAAGAAGCCATCAAATATGCTGATCAAAACCAATACAATCAAGGACAACATGTATTATCAGATATGTTAAAATAGATAGAGAAATCTCACCCTAAAAACTAGGCTAAGCTCTAAGTTCTTAAAGACGATTTAGTTTAATGTTAATAAAACGTGCAACCTTAAGTGTACTAAATTCAAGGTAAGCTCTAAGCATAGTAACAATGTGTTAGTCATTATAACTAATAATCATAGGCAGTAAGATTGAATGATATGTATTAAATACCTCTTTAAAAATAAATGGTTTAATAATAATAATAGTAAAAGTAATAATAAATTTGGAATAAACCTTAATAGTTGCCTTAATAATTAATCCAGTTATAAAAAAACCCACAATAACAAATCTAGTAAATCATTCATGATTAATTCTTATAAATTTTGAGCTCTATTCAAAAATATATAAAATATGATACATTCCATTTTAATATCTGAATCCACCATCTTTTTAATAGCAGTTTTTAAAATAAAAATTTAATAAATATTTCAAAATTATTATATTTTGTTAATTATTTAAATTTATATTTAATTTTAATTATAAAACTAAACTGTTGACTTTTGTATTAAATTACTCTTTTATAATGAAAATAATTAATTCAAAAGGAATTGATTATACTTTTTTATATTGGAAATGATAGTTCTATAAAACTGTAAATATTACCTGAATTCTAAGCAAATTAAAAACTTAACTAAAAATAGAAATGAATTAAGATTGTAAAAATAATTAATGTCTTTTTTGTTTCTAAAAAAGGATTATTGTGTTTACTTATTTAAACTTACTCCATTTTGAAATATTGAGGTAAATGAATTCATAGAAAAAGAAAGTAAAAAAGTATGATGGAAATCTATTAAAACATAGATTTTTTTGATAATCTGTAGAAATTATTTAACAAAATAAAATTACCTTATAAATATTTTAAAAATATTTCTACTAAAACTGCAGAAAAAGAGGTAAAATTTTGATATAAACAAGATATTTTTGGCTCTCTTTTATTAGAACAGAAATTTGTCAATTATCTTAACAAATAAATTTGGTTATTTTCAAGACAAACCAAATCTTAATCATCATTAAAAAAATAAGCAAACAAACAAATCTTTGATATCAAAGCAGTAAATGGTATTGCTGAAATTAAAAAAAAAAAAGATAATTTAATAATGAAAAGAAAAAAATTATTTTTTAAGTTTTGATCTACAAAATTAATAAAAATATATGAAAAAAATTGTTTTATATTAAAAGTTTAATGTTTTCTAAAATAAATACAATCAATAAATTTATCCCTTTTATGCTTATTTTTTGAAAGAAGATATTAATATTTTATTTTCTCAAATTTAATTAAATCATCTCAAAAATCTAAATTAATAAACAATGAAAAAAACCACAACTCACAATTAAATTTTCAAATACTTGCGAAATCAAATCTTTGATAATTAATTTGTTAAATTTCTTTCAAATTAGTGGTGAAATAATCCTTTTTACATTTAATGTAAAAACTTGTTGTTTTCTTAATTTTAATTAAATAAAATCAGAATTAAAAACTGTAAGCTTAGATATTATATATCTTTAATTTTCATTTACAACCAAAAGCATTTAATTAAAGGATGTAATTTTGGTCTAAATAATAGTAAAGTAGATTTAATATTTATGCTCATTTTATATCAAGTTTTTATTAATCTAATAAAATAAAATAGAATTAAGTTTTAATAAAAATGTGAACAAATCTACTTTCTTTGTTTTAAATAAATATATCACTTATTAATCAATTAGTGTCAAAATAAAAATTTAAAAAAAAATATTTTAACATTTTTGAAATATCAATCAATCTAAATAATAAATTTAGCTGATACAATAAAATAAAATGTTTATATTGAAATTAGTTTTATCAATTTTGCAGATTTGATGTTTTTGATTAATTTCAAACATTTTCAGATTATTAAATTAAGTATTAAAATAGCTCTTTTTTTAAATATGTAACATGGCCTATCAGAATTTTTAATCAAAACGAGAAAATAAATAAAAATCAAATTTAGTTTATCCATTTATAATTAATTAATTAAATTTCATAAATTGTTATCCAATATTTTTGAAAAAGAGAATAAATGATGTAATAGATTAAAGAATATAAAGAATTAGAAGAAGTAATTTTTAATTTTTTTATTAATATCCTTTAAATTGATATAAATTAATAAAAAAAGTTTATAAGCTCTTCACATTTACCTCATTAGATTCTCCATATTAATCTCAAGTAAATTTAATTAAAAGATATTATTTTTTTTATTTTTAATATTTTTTGTATATTTAATTTTCAATTTATTTAAATAAATAATTTTAATTATTGAAATTATCATCATTATTTATTGATTTTTATTAAAACAAACATTTTTTAGATATTTTAGCTTAATTTTCATTTCAATTTTTAATTATTTATTTATTATTCATTTTTTATTAATTGATATTTTTCTTCATTAATAAAAGCAATTTATTAATTTTGGATTGTAATATTTTTAATTATCAAAGTTAATTTAAACCATTATAGCTCTTTTAGTTTATTTGATTTCTTTTTCTTTTTATTATGATTTATTTTGTTTTCATTCTTTGTTAATTTTATTAATTATTAATAAATCTTATTATTTCATATTTTTTCTTTATTTTTTCCTTCTAATTAACTAAAGCCAAATGCCTATTTTATTTATATAGGCAAAATATAATATATCTTAATAAAATAATAAATAAAGCTAAATTAGCTTAAAACAACTTCATTTTTGAGTTTTTAGAAAAGCTTTAAATTCACAAAATGTAAAATTTCAAATATTATTTAAATACCAGTTATGCTATTCTTATAACATATCATTTTTCTAAAAAAAATAAATTTTGAAAAACTTAATAAAAACTGGTATAAAAAAACTCGCTTTTTGAAAATTTGTATGGCAACTTATTCTATTTAATGATATATTTTTCTTCAATATTTAAAAAGTTCTAATGAAATTGGTGATGAAGGTGCATCAGGCTTAGGTTCTGGTTTAGCAAATTGCATTAATCTATCAAATTTGAAACTTTATCTTCAGTAAAAACAGTTTATTTAATTTAGATTGTGATATTTTTAATTATAATAACTAATTAAAAACAATAAAGCTCGTTTTTCTTTTTCTTCTTATTGTGCTTGCTTTTTTTTGTTCTTTCTTTATTTTTTAATTTGGCTCATCATTTTATTTTCAACTTTTCCTTTTATTATTAATTAATCTTTTTATTTAATATTTTTCTTCATTTTTTCCTTCTAATTAACTATTTAATGATAAATTTTTTCTTCAATATTTAAAAAGTTCTAATGAAATTGGTGATAAAGGTGCATCAGACTTAGGTTCTGGTTTAGCAAATTGCATTAATCTCTAAAATTTGACACTTAATCTTGAGTAAAAATATTTTATTTGTTTTAGATTGTGATATTTTTAATTATAAAAACTAATTAAAAACAATAAAGCTTTTTTTTCTTTTTCTTTTTATTGTTCTTGTTTTTTTTGTTCTTTCTTTCTTTGTTAACTTGATTATCATTTTATTTTCAACTTTTGTTTTATTATTAATTAATCTTTTTATTTCATATTTTTTCTTCATTTTTTCCTTCAAATTAACTATTTAATGATACATTTTTTTTTCAATATTTAAAAAGGGACAATTATATTTTTGATGAAGGTCCATCGGGCTTAGGTTCTGGTTTAGCAAATTGCATTAATCTCTCAAATTTGACACTTGAACTTAAGTAAAAATATTTTATTTGTTTTGGATTGTGATATTTTTAATTATAAAAACTAATTAAAAACAATAAAGCTCTTTTTTCTTTTTCTTTTTATTGTGCTTGCTTTTTTTTGTTCTTTCTTTATTTGTTTATGTGGCTCATCGTTTTATTTTCAATTTTTGCTTTTATTATTAATTAATCTTTTTATTTCATATTATTTCTTCATTTTTTCCTTCAAATTAACTATTTAGTGATATATTTTTTCTACAATATTTAAAAAGTTCTAATAAAATTGGTGATGAAGGTGCATCAGGCTTAGGTTCTGGTTTAGCAAATTGCATTAATCTCTTAAATTTGACACTAGATCTTGGGTAAAAACAGTTTTTTTGTTTTGGATTGTGATATTTTTAATTATAAAAACTAATTAAAAACAAAAAAGCTTATTTTTCTTTTTCTTCTTATTGTGCTTGCTTTTTTTTGTTCTTTCTTTCTTTCTTTCTTTCTTTGTTAATTAGACTCATTAATTTATTTTGAACTTTTGCTTTTATTATTGATTAATCTTTTTATTTCATATTTTTTCTTTATTTTTTCCTTCAAATTAACTATTTAATAATATATTTTTTCTTCAATATTTAAAAAGTGAAAATGAAATTGGTGATGAAGGTGCATCAGGCTTAGGTTCTGCTTTAGCAAATTGCATTAATCTCTCAAATTTGACACTTTACCTTTAGTAAAAAATATTTTAAATTTTTATAACTAATTAAAAGCAATAAAGCTCTTTTTTCTTTTTCATTTGATTGTACTTGCTTTTTTTTGTTCATTCTTTCTTTGTTAATTTGGCTCATCATTTTATTTTCAACTTTTGCTTTTATTATTTATTAATCTTATTATTTCATATTTTTTCTTCATTTTTTCGGGAGGAGGGGGGGGGGGGGGTCACAGGTGAGACGCCAGTCATATAAAAAAATGATAGAGAGACTTTAGAAAAGAAATTGTGTAAATATTCTTTTATAAAATATGAATGGAGCCCCACCTTAAGGCTGCTTCATTGGAATATAGCCTCAGTTTCGATCCACCCGTGATTCCCGCCATTTTTTCCTTCTAATTAAATATTTAAGGATATATTTTTTCTTCAATATTTAAAAAGTTCTAATAAAATTCGTGATGAAGGTACATCAGGATTAGGTTTTGGTTTAGCAAATTGCATTAATCTCTCAAATTTGACACTTCATCTTAAGTAAAAATATTTTATTTGTTTTGGATTGTGATATTTTAATTATAAAAACTAATTAAAAAAAATAAAACTCTTTTTTCTTTTTCTTCTTATTGTGCTTGCTTTTTTTTGTTCTTTCTTTATTTGTTAATTTGGCTCATAATTTTATTTTCAACTTTTTCTTTAAAAATTAATTAATCTTTTTATTCCATATTTTTCTTCATTTTTTCCTTCTAATTAACTATTTAATGATAAATTTTTTCTTCAATATTTAAAAAGTTCTAATAAAATTCGTGATGAAGGTCCATCAGGCTTAGGTTCTGGTTTAGCAAATTGCATTAATCTCTCAAATTTGAAACTTTATCTTCGGTAAAAACAGTTTTTTAATTTGGATTGTGATATTTTTAATTATAATAACTAATTAAAAACAATAAAGCTCTTTTTTCTTTTTCTTCTTATTGTGCTTGATTTTTTTTGTTCTTTCTTTATTGTTAATTTTGCTCATCGTTTTATTTTCAACTTTTTCTTTAAAAATTAATTAATCTTTTTACTTCATTTTTTTCTTCATTTTTTCCTTCTAATTAACTATTTAATGATATATATTTTTTTAAAATATTTAAAAAGGTAAAATTAAATTGGTGATAAAGGTGCATCAGGCTTAGGTTCTGGTTTAGCAAATTGCATTAATCTCTAAAATTTGATACTAGATCTTTGGTAAAAACAGTTTATTTGTTTTGGATTGTGATATTTTAATTATAAAAACTAATTAAAAACAATAAAGCTCTTTCTTCTTTTTCTTCTTATTGTGCTTGCTTTTTTTAGTTTTTTCTTTATTTTTTAATTTGGCTCATCATTTTATTTTCAAATTTTTCTTTAAAAATTAATTAATCTTTTTATTTCATATTTTTCTTCATTTTTTCCTTCTAATTAACTATTTAATATATTTTTTCTTCAATATTTAAAAAGGGAAAATTAAATTGGTGTAATCGGTGCATCAGGCTTAGGTTTTGGTTTAGCAAATTGCATTAATCTCTCAAATTTAACACTTGATCTTAGGTAAAAACAGTTTATTTGTTTTGGATTGTGATATTTTTAATTATAAAAACTAATTAAAAACAATAAAGCTCTTTTTTCTTTTTCTTTTTATTGTTCTTGCTTTTTTTTGTTCTTTCTTTCTTTGTTAATTTGGCTCATCATTTTATTTTCAACTTTTGCTTTTATTATTTCATATTTTTTCTTCATTTTTTCCTTCAAATTTACAATTTAATGATATATTTTTTCTTCAATATTTAAAAAGTTCTAATAAAATTCGTGATGAATGTCCATCAGGCTTAGGTTCTGGTTTAGCAAATTGCATTAATCTCTCAAATTTGACACTTGATCTTAGGTAAAACAGTTTATTTGTTTTCGATTGTGATATTTTTAATTATAAAAAATTTTTTAAAAACAATTAAGCTCTTTTTTCTTTTTCTTTTTATTGTGCTGCTTTTTTTTGATCTTTCTTTATTTGTAAATTTTGCTCATAATTTTATTTTCAATTTTTGCTTTTATTATTAATTAATCTTTTTATTTTATTTTTTTTCTTCAATATTTAAAAAGTTACAATTAAATTGGTGCAATGGGTGCATCAGGCTTAGGTTTTGGTTTAGCTAATTGCATTAATCTCTCAAATTTGAAAATTTTTTTTAGGTAAAAACAGTTTATTTAATTTTATATTGTGATATTTTTAATAAAAAAAAAACTAATTAAATACAAAAATACTCTTTTTCTTTTTCTTTTTATTGTGTTTGCTTTTTTTTTGTTCTTTCTTTTTTAAATTGACTCATCATTTTATTTTGAACTTTTGCTTTTATTATAGATTAATCTTTTTATTTCATATTTTTTCTTCATTTTTTCCTTCAAATTAACTATTTAATGATCTATTTTTTCTTCAATATTTAAAAAGTTGCAATTAAATTGGTGATGAAGGTGCATCAGGCTTAGGTTCTGGTTTAGCAAATTGCATTAATCTCTCAAATTTGTAACTTCGTCTTAAGTAAAAAAAGTTTATTTGTTTTGGATTGTGATATTATAATTATAAAAACTAATTAAAAAAAATAAAACTCTTTTTTCTTTTTCTTTTTACTGTGCTTGCTTTTTTATGTTCTTTCTTTCTTTATTAATTTCACTCATCATTTTATTTTCAACTTTTACTTTTATTATTTCATATTTTTTCTTCATTTTTTACTTCTACTTAACTATTTAAAGATAGATTTTTTCTTCAATATTTAAAAAGTTGCAATTAAATTGGTGATAAAGGTGCATCAGGCTTAAGTTCTGGTTTAGCAAATTGCATTAATCTCTCAAATTTGACACTTAACCTTCGGTAAAAACAGTTTATTTGTTTTGGATTGTGATTTTTTAATTATAAAAACTAATTAAAAAAATAAAACTCTTTTTTCTTTTTATTTTTATTGTGCTTGCTTTTTTTTGTTCTTTCTTTCTTTGTTAATTTGGCTCACCATTTTATTTTCAACTTTTGCTTTTATTATTTTATATTTTTTCATCATTTTTTCCTTCAAATTAACTATTTAATGGTATATTTTTTCTTCAATATTTAAAAAGTTCTAATAAAATTGGTGATGAAGGTGCATCAAGCTTAGGTTCTGATTTAGCAAATTGCATTAATCTCTCAAATTTGACACTTGTTCTTAGGTAAAAACAGTTTATTTGTTTTGGATTGTATTTTAATTATAAAAACTAATAAAAACAATAAAGTTCTTTGAATTCCTTTGATGACTTTTATTTGATTTATTTATTTTTATTTTTTCTTCCGCTAATGCTATTTTATTTCTTTATATAAGAAATATTTTTTAATTTAAAAATTTATTCAGTTTTGATATTGATTTAAAATTTACACAATTTATTATAAAAGTAATAACCAAATGAATGAATCAAAAAAATTCGAAGTAATAAGCAAGTGTTTTAAATCAAAAAGATTAGTTGTCTTTATAAAAGAAATTTGGTGATAAACAAGTGACGAAAAAAGGATGGATAAATATTAAATGTTTAAATAATATTAAATAATATTTTGAAAAAGCTTTTTTTAACCTAAAATATAAAAAGATAGATACATAAATTTTATTATTGATTTTATATTTATAAATATCATTCATATTTTTGTAAGTAAATAAATTATTTATCAAAAAAAAAAAAAATAATTTTCTTAAATAAATTAATTCTTCATAAGCAACCCTATGGTTTCACCAAAAATGATAAAATAATTAGAAACTTTATATATATATATTAATATATTATTTTTTAATAAATTATAAAAATGCCAAGCTTTTATATACCAGTTTTTTTTTAATCTGAAATATTATTCATCAATCATATTTCTATTTTTTTTTTATTTTCATATTTTGAAAATTTTTAGAGCAAAACTTAAAAACTTTCTTTATTTATTTTATTATCAATCACATATAAAATTTTTGTAATTCTTCTAAGAAAATATTAGATTAGAAATATTTCATTATTACAGTTAAAATTAAATTTTAATTATCAGTTTCTTATAAAAAAGCAAATATTTTAGTCATAATAAAAATTTTATGTTAAAGTATTTGAAAAATATTAAATTAAATCTAAGATTTGTAATTTTAATTATGCAAAGTTTTTAATCGTTGACGCATTTATTGAGAAGAAAGAAGTTAATTAATTTTATAAAGTGTAAATAAATAAATAAAATTAATTACGTATTATGTGAAAATTGAAAATATTATGTCACCTCACATTAATTAAAACTTTGATAAGATTTATTTATTTACTTATTTTTTTTTACTTATAATTATACATTACAGAATAAGCGCACTTGAATGATACTTAAATAATTTTTAATTTAAGCAATTTGCTTTTTACTTTTTATTTACAATTTGCACTAGAACCTTTTACACTAATTGGTAATAGTTAGCATAAATATCTTTTGTATCAAATTATTTATTTATGTTAAGCAAAAGCTAATTTAATTAGAACTAGAAAGGGCAATTTTGTTGTTATTCAAACTTGTTTGTAGAGATACTTATAAATTTATAATTGAAAAAAATAATTAAAATACAAAAAAACTAAAATATCTTTCTTAATAATGTAAAAAATTTCTATATTAATAACTATCTTATTTTTATCTTGCATTGCTTGCTAAAAATCACCTCAATATCTCTCTATCGAAGTAGATAAGTCTGATGTCAATCCATAGCTATCTGATTTCTTAAAGCAGTCATTCTAGTAATTACTCCTAAAATACCCTACAGACCAATAAGTAATTACAAAAGATTTAAACAGCTTATCAAAATCTAAGCCTTAAGCTCCATGGAAAAATCCAAGTTCTATTCATACTACTGTTTTGTACATCGGATCAGATAAAAGCAAATTAGACACTGACTACTATAAGCAATTCAAGGTAGGCAAGTAAGTTTAGTTAGAATCTACTACTTTTATTTATGTTCCAGGTAAAATAATATGTTCTCCTGTATTCCCTTAGGACATTCTTATTGAAAATACATGTCCTCATATGACATTAATGGTTGCTAATTGGAAACCTGTTTAGTGTAATTCTGTCTTGGAAGCAATCTTTACTTAAAATGGAGCTTTAAAGTCTGAATATGAAAACAAATTCTTCTAGGAGCCCAGCAATGTTATGCTAAATAAACTAAATAAAGTTGAAATTGATGGAGAAAGTGTTGATGTCTACATAGTCAAAGCTAACAAGAGTAACCAAAAATACTTAAATTATGAAGGTGAAACCAAATATATATACTGATTATATATATCTATCTATCTGCCAATAATTTAAATTTGTTTTCTAAATTTAATTTATTTTAAAATTAAAATATTATCAATGTAATTTTTGTGTTTACATTTTCTTATTAATTACAACAAAATTCCATATATTTAATTAGCTTAAATAAGCTAAGCTAAATAGAAATAACAAAGTTCAAAAAGTAATTAAATTTGATTGAATTAAAATTTATAATAGATATATTCCAATTAATACATAAATTAAATAATTTGAGTTGGGTCTAGGGCATTTCAAAATAAAATTTAGCATTTATGTCGTATCCATAACCAAATTTACTCTTCATATCTTTGAATTTATTATTTTTAAAATTTACTGTAATTTTTGATTATATAAAAATGAAAAATCTATTTATTAAAAATTTATTTAAGAATAAATTCATTTATTTGTTGCATGAAAGCTCTTTACCTAGATAATATGTGATTTAAATAAAAACTAATATGGTTAGATAATAATTAGAGATATTATAAAAATTCCTCTCATTACTAATTACAACTAAAATAGAAAAATCTAAAAAATAAAAATTAAAAACATTAATTAGAATTTTTTCAACATATGTATAACTACTACTCGTCTCTAGTTTTTTCATATTTTTAAGTACAAATTTTGAATAGAAATATTAAGGTTTAATAACAAATTTTACACTAACTTTTATGTGATTTCTCAAACTAAACCAAAATCTATATATTCATATAATTTATTTATTTTTTATATCCACTTATAATTAATTAAAATAAATTAATTGCTATTCAGTATTTTTTTAAAAAAATAAATGATATAATAGACTAAATAATACATCATATTAGAAGAAGTAATTTTTATTTTTTTTATCAATATAATTTAAATTTATTTTTATTAATATAAAAAGTTTTTAAATTCTTCACTCTAATCTCATGAGACTCTCCATATTTATCAGAAGTATATTGATTTATAAATATTATTATTACTAACTTCAATATATTTAATTTTTAATTTATTATGATATAATTTTTCTAATAGAAATTCTCAACTATTTTGATTCTTAATTTTTTTTATTCAAATATTATTTCAGTTATTTTAACTTTAACTTTCAATTTTTAATATTCTTTAACCAATTTTTATTATTTAATATTTTTTATTCATTTTTTCCATCTAACGCATTTTCTTGATATAGACAGTTTATTTGTTTTGGAGTGCGATACTTTTAATGATTTAAAACAATATATTATTTTATTTTATTTTGTTAATTAGCTTTTTATTTTATTTTTTATTCTACTTGCATTCTTTTTATCCTTCTTAATTTAACTCTATTTTTATTTTCACATTTTTCTCTTACTTTATTCGTTTTTTATTATTTCATATTTTTTCATCATTTTTTCCTTCTAAATAACTAAGTACTTATTTATAATTTCAATATTTAAAAAGTTGGAATTAAATTGGTAATGAAGGTACATCAGACTTAAGTTCTGCTTTATCAAATTGCACTAATCTCTCAAATTTAACACTTGATCTTATGTAAAAACAGTTTATTTGTTTTGGAATATGATATTTTTAGTTTTAAAATGAATGAATTTAATTAGCTTTTTATTTGATTTACTTTTCTTTTTCTTTTTTAATAAAATTTTTGAAAAGCATCTGCTCAATAACTAAGAAAGCTTTGAATTTGTTGATAATTTTCAAAAATAAAATTATCGATTTGTAATGAAAGCAAACAAAAACTATTTTTACACAATTTTCTTAATTTAAATAAATTTTTTTATTTAAACTTTTTGCTTTTATTATTAATTAATTTCTTATTATTTCTTCATTTTTTCCTTCGAACTAAGTAATTTACTAATTTATTATATTTTTATTAAATATTTAAAAAGGGGCAATGAAATTGATTCAATTGGTGCTTCATACTTAGGTTCTGCTTTAGCAAATTGCACTAATCTCTTAAATTTGGAAATTAATCTTTAGTAAAAGAAGTTTATTAGTTCTGGATTACAATATTTTTAGTTATAAAAATGAGTTTAAAACAATACCACTATTTTAATTTGTTTATTAGCTTTTAATTTGATTTATTTTTCATTTTTGTTGTATTTGTAATTTTTTCTTTTTAATTAAACTCATTTTTTTATTTAAAATTTTTACTTTACTCTTAGTTAATTTTTTCTTAATATTTCATATTTTCCTCTTTATTTTTTATTCTATCTAACTATTATATATTTTCTTCAATATTTAAAAAGTGATAATTAAATTGATGCCATTGGTGCATCAGGTTTAGGTTCTGCTTTAGTAAATTGCACTAATCTCTCAAATTTGATAATTTGTCTTTTGTAAAAACAATTAATTTATTTTGGGTAGTGCTATTTTAATTTTAAAAATGAATTTAAGACAATATCAGTCTATTAATTTTTTTATTATCTTTTTATTTGATTTATTTTTATTTTTTAGTACATGTGTTTTTTTTTACCTTTCATACTTTATATCATTTTTTTATTTTTAGCTCTAGCTATTTTTTCATGACTTTTTATTTCTAATTAATTATTTATTTTTTCTTCAATATTTAAAAAGTGACAATTAAATTGGTGCTACTGGTGCTTCAGGTTTAACTTCTGCTTTAGCAAATTGCACTAATCTCTCAAATTTGACACTTGATCTTACGTAATAGAATTTATTTGTTTTTGATGGTGATATTATTAATTTTTAAATTGAATTTAAAATAAGATAGCTCTTTTAATTAATTTACAAACTTTTTTTGATTTATTTTTTGTTTATGATTTTACTTGTGTTTTTTTTTTCTTCAATCTTCTTTATTTTAAATCATTTTTAATTTTAAATATTTGAATTTGTTGTTTATTAATTCATTCATTCATAATATTTCATATTTTTTCTATATTTTTCCCTTCTATCTAACTAATTAAATATATTAAAAAGTGGCAATTAAATTGGTGCTATTGGTGCATCAGATTTAGGTTCTGCTTTAACAAATTGCTCTAATCTCTCAAATTTGACACTTAATCTTCAGTAAAAACAGTTTGTTTGTTTAGAATTGTGATATTTTTAGTTCAAAAAATAAATTTAAAATAATATTTTCTTCTTCTTCTTCCTTTCTTAATTTAACTCATTTGTTTACTTTCAACTTATATGTTTATCATTAATTAATTTACTACTTTTTATTCTTTTTTATTTCTACTAACTAACTAATTAATTATTAACTTTTTCTTCAATTTTTTAAAGTAGAAATTAAGTTGGTAACTAAGGTGTATCAGGCTTAGGTTATTCTTTAGTAAATTGCACTAATCTCTCAAATTTAACACTTGATCTTGGGTAAAAGCAGTTTATTTGTTTTAAATTATGAAAATATTAGTTATAAAAATGAATTTAAAACAATATAACTCTTTTAAATCGTTTATTAGCTTTTTATTTGATTCATATTTCTTATTTATTCTAATAATGCTTTTTTTACCTTTCTTAATTTAACTCATTTTATTTTCAAAATTTTTATTTTTATTTATTTATTAATTAATTAATTTCTTATTATTTTACATTTTTTCTTCATTTTTCCTTCTAAATAACTAATTAATTAAATGTTTTTTCTTCTAATATTTAAAAA